GGAGATATGTGGTGTTCCTTTCTCTGGGATAGAAAAGGAATTTCTTGCTGCCTGTGGGGACTTGCAGAATTTCAGTCGATATTTGCAAGTTCTTCCTCTTTCTTTGTGCCATAGAATGGCTGCTTGGGAGGGGAAGCATGGTTCAAAGGTGGTGTTGCTTGAGCAGTGTGATACATGTGGGAGATCTTTCGTCATAATGCTGTTACCCCTCGGGTCTGTAAGCTGATGGGAGCGTCTTGCCAGCTTCTCTGGGACAGTGGTGTAGTCAAAGTAGAGCAGAAACTATGCAGTGATGTGAAAGCTTGAGATACATTGCTAGGTATTATAGGTTGCAAGATTATATAGGTGAGTATGGATGTTTTTTCCATAAAAAGAAAATGGTAATAGAGGAAGTTGTCATGGATAAACTGAAAGAGCACTGAGGCATGCCTGGTAGATCAGCACGGATAAGTCGCAAATTCTGGCGAGTCCTGTGTCCCTGAGGTTATCAGTGGGGATGGTGATATGGGCTCGGCCAAGTTCGAGTGGCTGTACAGGTATCTGCGAGGAGCTACACATGTGGTGCAGTACGGGAACACAGCCCATCCCTGGCAGTGTTCAAGGCCAGGTTTGACAGGGCTTTGAGCAACCTGGTCTAGTGGGAGGTGTCCCTGCCTGTGATAGGAGGTTGGAACTGGATGGTCTTCAAGGTCCCTTCCAACCCAAACCATTCTAGAATTCTACTGCACTGGGTAAGAGCTGATGGGGTCCCCCTGTTCAGTGGGACCAGGAGCAGGAAAAGAGTGGATCTTCTCACGGACATGTTCAGAAGGGTCCAGGATCCTCTTCAATTCCCTTGAGGTGAGGCAGCTGAAATAGCACAGGTGCAGGAAAACGTACTTTCATGGTTACATTTTAAGATCATACTGCTTTGTTAACAGAGGATTCTTGATGTACATAAATGGTCTTGAAAACAAGGTTGGGTATTTGTATCTGGTTTTCTATATGAGAAATTGCGCAGTAGCACAGGCAGATTATCTAGGGAACCTTGGGCTTCTATGTTTCTAGAATTATATTTAAAAGTGGTCTGTGTAAATTTTCTGGGAGGAAAGAGTTTTGTCTCCCCCACAACTCAGACTTGTCTTTAAGTAGTTTTAGCCATGCTGTTTTCCTGTTTGTTGTTTTTTTTTCTCTGTAAGGGCAGCATTTATCCATGGGTGAGCAATGGCAGAAAATGCAGTGCTAGGAAAATACAAAATATGAGGCTGAAGGGAGTGCAGGTTTTGACTCTTGGTAGGACCCCTTTGAATCTTGCTAGCAGCAGAGACATGTGAAGCCTCCATTCTTGCTGACCAGTGCGTTATTCCCAGCTCTCATGATGTTGTTCCTTTGACTTCCAACACACTTCTACTGACAGTCCAGACCTGTTCCAGGCCAAAAAGTCTTTGTTTAGGAAGACTTGGCTGGAGCAGCTGATGTCAGAAGCAGGATAGCTCAGGGCTGTTGAAAGTAGCAGAACAGAGAAGCCTCTCTTTGGTGCTGCCAGTGCCGTGCTTCCCCTGCCCCAGCTCTGAATGCTGCCACCGAGAAGGGAGAGGGTGAAACCTTGTCCAAGAGATAGGGGAAGAGTCTGGTGGAGTCAGGACTGAGAGGCTGTGGGGGCTAATGCTGAGGCTGGCAATCCCATCGGAAGGAAAGCAGGACCAAGAGCAAGGACCAAAGCAGCAACTGGGAGAGGGTGAAGGGAGAGATATGTGGATGGGATGGCATGTCAGTGAGGCTTTGGGAGCTGGTGGGGTATGACTGAGTGCGAGCCACCTTGGGAGGAGCTGATGTGCTGGTGGGGAGGTGTGGACACTCCTGGGGACAGCCCCTGGCATTAGGTGGCAGTGGGGATCTGGAGCTGCCTGATGCTGGGGGAATGGGAACTGGGATGGGGTGGGATGTGGGACAAAACAGGACAGCTGGAAGGAGCTGGGTTGAGAAGAGCAGGCTGAAGGGTTTGTAGCTAGGGCAGTGGTTATCAGCTTTTTTTAAAGGAATGATTAAAAAGGCCAACAATTCAAGTGTGGTAGGACAAACACACCTTAAAGTGTTTTTTTTTTTAGGATGTAATGGTTTTGGGTGTGGACAAGGGTTTTTTTCTTTGTACGCTCTTCCACTTCTTCCAAACTGAATGTAGTGTTCCCATCAGAAGTTTGCGTGCCTGTCTTGCGTATGTCTCTGATCTCAGTAGTTCCAAAGGAGAACGGGGAATGCTTGTCCTGGTCTCCAGGACTTTCTAGTCTCCAGTGGGCATGAATAATTCCCTGCAAGTTGAGTTCAACATGCTCCCATCCCGGCTCCTCCCAGCTTGTCATCAGGCAGCTGAATGCATTCACTTTCAGAAGCAATAATGATGTAATTGGGTTGTACTGGGAATTTTGACCAAAACCTTCTTTCTTTTTATGCTTCTTTGTGTAATGGCTTTTTGCAGAAACAACTGTGGGGAGCTGGTCTGATTTCCATAGGTCTGTGAACTTTCAGCTGTGGGCAGTAGATTGGACAAGTCGGTACTGAGCAAAACACTCAGAACTAAAGAGAAAAATGGGGTTAGAGTCTTTCATTGAAGTAGAAAGAAAAAAGGACATTGAGCAGAGCAAAACACTCTGTGAACACAACAGTAGAAAATACTGGTCTTCAGGCGATGGCATCCTCTGCTTTCCCAGCCAGGTGAGCCCGTGTCCGACTGGTGTGCTTGCAGGGCATCCAGCCAGTGGTGGGTACAAGTAGGGTCGAGGTGGTGCATAGCCCCTTTCATTCTGGAAATAAGTGACTGTCTTAGCTTGGTCAGAGAGGTTACAGGGTCCCTTAGCCATCTTGTTCTCACCCTGTGCTCACAGTGCTCAGAGGGATACCCTAGAAGGTGTTTGGAACTTGCAATGACGGTTTTGTTCAGCTCCTTTCAAGTAATCTACAAAATACCAGGATATGGATAAAACTTGCGGTTACCTACTGTGGATGACATTGTAAAGACCATTTCCCATTTTATTTTTAGGTGATGAGAAGGGGGAGAAAAACAGCGTAATGATGTGTCTGAAACACTGAAGGCACTTGCGACAATCTTATACTCATTTCCTCAAGTAATGGTTTTATTTTGCAGCATTGGTGACGATGTGTCTGTTTTTCTTCTGCTAGATCTGTTATTTATTTGGATCTGATGAGTCTTGCTCCCGGCATCTGTTCTAGGACTATGGTAATATCTTTAAGGAAGAGATTCACCTGTTTTGTTGCTGAATGATTGATTGTGTTCACTTCCTGCGCAGAGAGACAGCCAAAGCAGACAGACAGTGATATGGTTTCTAGCGTACCCTGCATCCAGGATAAACATGAACATATGGTGCCAAGGAAGTTTGTTGCGGGCCTAAGCTGAAGATAAACACTACAAGCTGTTATTTCAGAAGGGTAGCACAGGATGAAGGTTGTAAAGAAAACAAATAGTGTCACAGAAACCAAATTGCACTGACATCTGTCAGGACTTCTCCGTTCCTCCAGAGGCTCTGAGATGAGTCCCTGCTCCTCCTGCCACGTGGTGAGCACTGCTGCAGCCATCGGTCATCGCTCCTTCCCCCTCAGCTGTGGGTGTGGGACACAATAAATTACACGAAGAGCCAGGGCATTCCTGTATAAACAAAGCTTTTGCTGGTTGTCAGCTGGGAGTGATGGTGTAGACTGTTTTAGGTCCTAGTATGATCAGGGAAAGGTAGCAGAGAGTGGGGCACACTGCCTTGTCAGGGGCCAGCTAGATCGGAAGAAAGCTCTTCTGTTCCTGGTGGCCATCCTTGTTTCCTCATACTTTTACTTTTCAGATGTCTGTTATCTTTAACTAAAAGAAACAGCCTCCCTCTGCCCAATTCCCAAAAAAACAGAACTGATTTATGGATAAGATTACTTTTTAATCATATTATTTTTAAATACCCTGGCTTCTGTAAGTAGAACAGGGGTCAATCTTGCAGGGTTACGACTGACCTGAGAAGCTGTACAGGGTGCATTTGGGGACCCAGTGAAGTACTGTTTGCACAAAAAATTAAAGAGAGCAAGCCTTTGTACTCTAAAATGAGGGGTTTGTTGTTTTGCTGGGGTTTGTTTTGTTTGTTTGCTTGTACAGAAACAAAACAATCACATAAATTGCACTTAAAGACAGGTTTGGTTTTCTTTTTGTTTTTTTTTAGAAATTGATTTCAGATGAAGGTTAAGGTGTCTGAGCTATCACTGCTGATACGGGCTCTTAAACTTGGCATGAAGCAAGAAAAATTCTTTGTTATGAAGCAGGTGAAGAAAACAAGGAAAGCAAAAAAAAGTATAGTTGACATCTGGTGTTTCACTGAGATGACGTGGCTTTGGTTTCCACCTTCATCTTCCAAGAGTCTGAAAAAATGTGGTAGCAATTAAATGTGTTTCTATTTGATTTGGTGAGACATGAGGATATGGTAAAAAACATGCAAAGTTTAGAAGTCAGCAGACTTTTCCTCCAAAAGAAATCAGGAAGCTGTTTGTGTGTCTGAAAAAGGTGCATCATCTCAGAAAACACAGGGTGGAAAAGCCCATGGTTACTTCCTGTGTCTGTCTGTAGGGTGTCAGGTGGTTTGTGCCGGGATTTTGCATCCTGGTGCTTCCTTGGACTTGTTTCTCTAACCCAGTCGGCTCTGGCAAGATGTGTGTATTGCTAGCGTGGCGTGGGTGGGGTGGCTGGCATGAGTGAGGGCTGGCCATGTTCAATCTTCTCCACCATGCAAGGTAGATGCTATGTACTTCCCTGTCACCAAGGACAAACTGGTTTCAAACTTGCCATCTGTACATGTTTGGGACCTGGACTGTCAGGACTGACTTCCTCCAGTGTAGGCAATGTCCTCAGTGCAGGACCTGTGCTGGAGCTCCCATGGGTGCTCATAGTGGCCAACTGGCCAGACAAGCTTGCATGGTTGCCATAGGGGTCTGTCTTCTCGGGGTCTTCTCACAGAAGCTGGAAACCTCTTTTCCAGGTCTCAAGTGTGTGTGCCAGCTGTGCGAGCACACCAACTTCACCTGCCAGACAGAGGGTGCCTGCTGGGCCTCTGTCATGCTGACCAACGGGCGGGAGGAGGTGATCAAGTCCTGTGTCTCCCTTCCGGAGCTGAATGCACAGGTCTTCTGCCACAGTTCCAAGAACATCACGAAGACCGAGTGCTGCTACACTGACTTCTGCAACAACATCACCCTCCGCCTGCCTGTCGGTAAGTGCTTCTCGACTGCAGGACACTGTTCAAAGGCTTGTGTGACAGCCTGAGAGTGCAGAAATACTGTGCGGAGGATGTGACCCTAAGAGCCAGCTAAGTGGGATTTTAAAGGTTGTCTGTAAAACAGTACCTATTTTTTTTCCTGACTTGTTTCAGATGGGACATTCTAAACTGCAACACTGTCTGGGGAAGAGAGAATTTCTTCCATCTCCTAAAGATATTCCAAATGCTGTCTTTGATATCCTATGGGGCATTAACAGTGAAGGTGAAAGGAAGTGTCTGAAGGAAAGAGACTTGTAACCTCACAGGTTATTTGCTGGAATATCTTAAGGAGTTTTTTATTTGAACTGGCATTAGTCTAGATGTTGGGAAGATGATATCTAATGTACTGGGGACTTGCCATGGGGCATGGATCAGCAATGTATAGCAGCTGTGAATTAGCAATTGTGAGGAGCTGAGAGCTGTTAACTGGTGTATCACAAGGAAATAATGAAGACCTTGCACTGGCTGAAGTCTTACAGTCTCAAACATCTCTGCACACAATTTAAAAGACCTCCTTTAGATGGCTCAGATAAGAATTAAGACTAGAGAGGTTTTGAAAGAAGGTGAATAGTTGTAGGTGCTGACTGCATTGTATATGGGAAATGCACCCATGATTTTGGACAGACAAATATCTGGGTTGGTGGAGAGGTTTGACCCGTGGCAGTGCCCTGGTGTGTGAGGAGCTGTTCTCCTCACTGTCCTTGGCCAGTCTGTGTCACTGAGTGCCATATCTTTGTGACCTGGACTGAGGAGCAGTTACTACAGCTGATGTTTTTGTGCCTGTGCTTCAGGAGCAAGGGGTATGCAGTGGCTCTGTGGTGGCCAGGAAGGCAGAAGTGTCCTCCCTGGCTCCTACAGCATGTAGGGTCTTCTACTGTGGGGGGTGAGAGGGGTACAGGGCACCGGGTCATTTCTGGGGGATGTCCTTGGCTGATGACGTTTCAGCAGTCTTGTTAGTCTGCCTTGAACTCTGGGATTCAGTAGTTCATTTTAGCAGCTCGTAAGGCAGCTTTTCTTTGGTGTTAGATTGGTATCATTGATTCTTGCCCAGCAGGGGTGAGAAAGTATAAGATTCCTGGTCCCAATTAGAGGGAGGAAAAAGATTTGCACTTCCAGAAGCTCTGTGTATTGCACAGCTGGTGCAGTACTTGAGTCTGCCAGACTCAAAATTGTGTAATGAAGTTAATTCAGTCCTTTTAAAAAATAAATATTTATGCTATCTTCATGTTTGACTGTTCTTTCCAATATTTGCATTTAATCCAGGCTTTTTTTAAAAAGCTGTAAAATATACTACCTTATCAGATGATACCTTTTTATACACTTATGCCAGTGAGAGATGTTACAGGTAAGAAAGATGTAAATTAATACATAATTTACAATTATAACTTGTGTTTAAGCTGCCTTCATATAATCCTTACCAGAATTTAAAAGGCTTTTACTGGAAGCACTTGTACGATACAGGAAGCACATCATGCACGATGCAGGAGGCAGACGAGGGAGCTGCTGTGGTGGCCTTGGGTACCAACATCTCCTGGTGTGAACAGGCAGATGCTGGATGCTACCAGAAGAGGGAAGGGCTATTCCAGGCTACTCCAGGCGGCTCTGGAGGAGCCAGCCTGGGCAGAAGGAGAAGCCCAGCAGCTGGGTGGTCTGTACCCCCCTACCTAACGTCACCTATTGCTTGAGGCAAGAGCAAAGATATTTAAATGTTTTTTTTTTTCCAGCTGACAAGAGAAAGGAGGTATTAATAGTGGTCATGCTCTAGAAATGTAGAAATAAAATGCTATGCTTTTTTTTTTTTAAGTTGGGATGCTGGAATCTTGGGAGAAAACTGCTATTTATAGAGGAGCGGTGGAAGCATATCTGTCATCTTGAACTGGTAGTTGCAAAACCTCTGGTTTCATATTTCAGTACCAGGGAAAATTACTTAATTTTTAGCCTGAGCCCTTTGCTCTGAACATTTGAGAGAATTCATGTTAGTCAGAAATTTAACAGTGCCATTGTTATTTGATTGCTGGTCTTTTCTGGCAGCTCTCCTTCACATAATTCATACTGCAGGAAAGCTTCATTTGGGCCCCAGTGAAAATAACCTTTCTAAGGAGCACTGCTGAGTGTGTAGGTGAGGGATCTGGGCTGTACAACTGGCCTGTCCAGGGTGCCTCTGCAGTACCCATGCCCTCTGCAGTAGGAGGTTTCGAGCAGTGTACCTGTCTTGTGGTTTAAGCCCAGACGGTAACTCAGAACCAAGCAGCTGCTCACTCACTCCCCATCCCTTCTTCTCCCACCCTGCTCCAGGCTGAACAGGGAGGAGAACTGAAAGAATGCAAACCCCAAAGGTTAAGTAAGAACAGCCCAGTAACTAAAGTATAATACTGTGGAATGGAATACTTCTTTGGCTAGTTTGGGTGAAGTGTCCTGTCTCTGCTTCCTCCTGGAAGTAATTTCCAACTGAATCTTGAACTAAGGTAAATCAGAGAAGAATTCTTAAAGAATATGAAGCTACAGTCTCTTCTCCCAAGTAACAAGCAATAGGACAAGCGGTAACGGCCTCAAGCTGTGCCACGGAAGGTTTGGACTGGATATTAGAAAAAATTTCTTTACAGAGTAGGTGATCAGGTGTTGGAACTGGCTGCCCAGGGCAGTGGTGGAGTCACTGTCCCTGGAAGTGTTCAAAACCCATGTAACTGAGGTCCTTAGTGACATGGTTTAGTGGGGAACTTGGCAGTTCTGGGGTAATAATTGGACTTGATGATCTTAAAGGTCTTTTCCAACCTAGTTGATTCTGTGATTCTGTGTGCCCCTCCTCACTGGCAGAGCATGAGAGACTGAAAAGTCCTTGATCAGGGTAAGTGCTACTTAGCAACAACCAAAACAGTGGTGTGTTATCAGCATCGTTCTCAGGCTAAAGCCGAAACACAGCACTGCACCACCTGCTAAGAAAGAGAATAATAACTGTTACAGCTGAAAAACCAGGGCAACATCCTGAGGAGGTGGGCTGTGCCACAAGGAAAACCATTTTGAATACCATTGCCTAGGCTGCCTTTATAGGTACACTCCTGAGCTTAGGAAATTGGTGTTTCCAAAGTGAGGTTTTAGGCAATTCCTCGATCAGCTTGTATTTTTTGTTTCTTTCTGGCCTTATACGGCACTTAGAAATCCAAATCCTGATCTTGGGTTCCTCTTTGACTGAGATAAACAAAAATTAAAGTGGAGGCTGGAGCTTTGGCTGGCTTTTCCTCTGGTTGCTGTAGCTGCCTCCAGCTGGGGACACAAGACTGCCCTTCAGTGCCTCTTCATGGTGCCCTGCTTTGGCTTGTCCCGGTGTTAGTTACCAAGGGCTGATGTTGTAAATGTATCAAGAGTGATTGGAAAACAATCAAATGACTTGCAGCGTGCAGATCTGAGTGGATAAAGCAATTTGTTTTGATAGCTGGTATATGAATTTCCGTAGTCAGACTGCAGATGGCATTGCATGCCTCAGACAGCAGCAGAGAGTGTGTGATTGTGCCTTGCATGAGAGGAGGTTACTCTTGCTTTAGTTGGTTTTACAGCGTCTGAAAATACGCATCTTTAGGGACAGATTCAGCCTGGATATCTACTTTTTATATGCTTCTCATTGCCAGGGATTTCACTGCAGTATTTTGCATTAACAGGTGCTAAATTTCAAGGTGTAGGATTAGTTTGTGGTAAGGAGGGGGCTTCAGTGTTACCCTGAATTCACTTCCTGGGTTCTACTGTTTTTACTGGGATACTTTCTGCCCCAGCAGGTTGCCTGAGGTGACCTTCCCCTGCCAGTGGGATGTCATAACAGGGCTGCAGAAAATGACCAGCATGCCACTTCCTTAATGGAACTTTCTGTGAATCTCCCTCTGTATGAGAAATTGCCTCTGTGCACCTCAGCATGCAACAGGCTATTTTGAGGAGTTGCTAATAAAATCTAGAAGACTTCTTCCAGTTGCAGACTTGTGTGTCTCAGGATTTTCAGGGCATATTTCAGATCTGGGAGACAGTGCCTGTGGTTTCTGATCCAAATCCGCTTGTGGACAAGATATACCCCGCACACAAGCCTGTGCATAGATGACAGACCTTTACCTGCAGCCCTGAAGTGGACTATGGAGCTTCTTATAACGTGATGTTTACATTTGGCTATGGTGGAGGGGCCAGCAAAATTGGTGTTGCCCTCAGTTACCTTATTAGTTGGAGACAGTGAATTGGCAGCTGTTGAATTGCTGGCGCCTGAAAGCTCAGACACTATATTTGTTACCAGACATAGGTAAGAGGACCTCTAGAGATCTGGTGTCTTTATTTGCATGTCTATAGAAGTGTGGAGAAAAGTTCGTGCTGCTACTCATTCTACCTCTTGATCTGAAAACACCTAGTGACACTGGATTCTAAGCCTCCATCTTTACAGATACTGATAACCGAAATTGGGTGGGTGCAGGTGAGTTGGCAAATTTGTCACAGATTTCTGGGCTTTCTGACCAGGCTGCTTTCAGAGGCTGGCTAAAGAAAACGTCAGCTTCTAAGAAAAAATCATGGGGATGTCTCCAGTGAGTGCAGCCACATGTCCGTGAGTTGGTGGGAAAATTCAGCACAGCAAAGAATTCTCTGCTTTTAGGGTTTTGCCTTCAAAAGTACCTCTGTCATTCCAGCAAAGGCAGCACACAGCAAGAACGGTCTCCTCTTTGCTGTTTTGGGTGACCTGGCACAGCAGCATCTCTAGAACTTGAGATAAAAAGCGTATGATTTCTGTTCTGTATTTGCATAATGGAAAATGAGTCAGAGAAGAAAGGAGGCTTTATGCAACAAGATTAAGCTAATATTGGGATTAACAAACTGAATAATAAGTAATTTGCCAGCTCTCTTCTTTATTCTTATTGACCAAACTGTACAAAGGCTCAAATGGACCTCATATCACCTACAGTGGCACACACTGGGATGAAATAAAGGAAAAT